GGTCTGGTCTATACTACCCGCCTGAATCGGCGGGTAGAAATCGACCTCTCGGGGATCGATTTATCGCGTCCCGTCGGGACGCGACAATCGATCCCCGAATCGGCGCTCTAACTCCACCAGGGGAGGTGGTAGTAAGCGCCGCCGACAAAAAGCCGCAGAAGTCGATTTTGCCGCCGTCCTCACAACGGGGTAAGTCGGCTGTGATACGTCGAATTCAGCTACGCTATTCACGTAGCTGAATTTGCGTATCTTAAATCGACTCCCCCTTGTAGTGTAGATGTACCCTGAAGGCTTTAGAGGAGCTAGACTAGTGAGAATTGGTGCATGATTTGCCTTGTGCTCAGAACCTGTTGGAAAGAAATTGGACAGGTACGTGAATTGCAGATTTGCTCACCGTCTCTAGCAGTTGCTTGCTCTAATTTGTGCTTAAAGGTGACCCTAGCTATTGTTAGCACTGCACAACAAGTCCAGCTATGGAAGATTAAGCTTGATTACCTTGCAGATCAAGGAGAACTCCCATAAGGTTGACCATATGTTTGACTTGGCTTTGGGGACTGGTTTGGCTGGCTGAGATACTGGGTAAACCCTACTGAGAAGTTTGAAAATGCACCCCAATCTGATTTTTTTTTTTTAAATAAGTGGGATATTTCATATCCATGTTCCTGGTATCGATTTTTATTTCAGTCTTAATGCTTTATTATTGTACATTTTGGTTGTCTCTTCACTGGTGATGAGGCAGATCAGGCCTCCCTTTCCAGCTAACAGCTTCTATCAACTGATTGAGTTGATAGGACTCTCCCATATCTGCTGTGTCCTGGCTGTCTCAGGTGCCCAAAGGGCACCATAGCATAACACAGAATTTTGGAAGTTAAAACAGCTAAGCCTTGTGAATTGAGAAGAATTGGCTGAAGACCCACCGAGAGTCTGATCATCTTTTGTACAGATAACTTGTACTGCTGCACAGAAGAGGTTTGACTGAGGCCAAGAAATATTATTTGGTCTCATCCTTACACAGCACAAGTAGCAGTCTGCCTGAACACTTTCATATGGTATGAGATCTGATTACTCCAGACTGCCTTGCTCTCTTAATTGCCCTTTTAATTGATCACTGATTTTTCAGATTTCTTTGTTGGTGAGAGAACTGGATTTCAGGCTTGTCTCCCAGAGCATTTTGAGCAAAAGCTGGGTGCTCCTTATTGACTGCCATCCATCCTTTGTGTTTGGTTGGGTCTCTGAGAATGCCTGTTGCTATCTAAGTTGATTAAGGCAAAGTTAGATAGCTGTGGTTTTCATTGACAAGCATTCTCAGAATTTAGCTGGCAATCTCTCCACACAAAGCAAAAACATGTACGTCTGCTGTCTCCTCAGATAATTTTACCTTGATGATAGAGTGCTTGTCAACTACCTCCAAGTTTCAGAACACCCCTTTTACTATAGAAGTGAGGGAGGAAGCAATGGGTATTAAATTACATGTGCACTTGAACATCGACATACAGTGTACATAACAATTGCATTCTTCTTCGAGTGATTGCTCCTGTGTATTCCACAGTAGGTGTGCGTGCTCGCCGCGTGCACCGGTGCCGGAAGTTTTTCCCTTAGCAGCATCCATAGTGGGGGGAGCACCGCTGTGACCCCTGGAGTGGCGCCGACATATCGCGCCATAAAGAGGGCTGTGTGCTCCCCCCACCCTCAGTTCCTTCTTGCCGCCAGTGAAGGTAGTCGGAATTTTGTGCTCCAGCCTTGGCTGCAGAGTTTATAGCCTTAGTGGTGTCCAGTCTCACTGAACTGTTTTGCTGAACTTTCTTTCTTTGGTGCCTGGCTCGGGGCATGCCCCATGGCCCAGGCTTCAAGTCGTGCGACTCTTGTCGCAACTCTATGCCCAGAAGCGATCCACACATTCAGTGTCTTCGCTGTCTGGGCGAGGCTCATATTAGTGAGAGGTGTAAGATTTGCCATTCCTTCAAGCCGCGAACAAAGGAGGAGCGTGAGATCCGACTCCGAGCTCTCTTAATGGAGTCGGCATTGGCCCCGGCACCGGCGCGTCGAGCCGACCCAGCGCCGGGCACCTCGTCTTCGGCGCGTAGCGAAGCACCTCCGGTGCGCCGTCCGGATTCCGTGCCTGGTACCATGTCATCGATGCGCAGCGAGGCCCCGTCGACGAGCCGGCACCGCTCCCCTTCTAAGAAGCAAGGGAAGACTCAGCGGCGCCAGGAGAAAGAACCGGGTGAGGCCAGACCCGCGTTAGGCAGCCCACGATCCCCATCGGGACCGAGACCTCCGACTCGGGTGGAGCGGAGTAGTCCGGTGCCCTCCACGCGCGCCTCGCCAGAGGTGAGAATGCCTTCAATGCCAGAGGCAGCTCAGGCCGCATGCGACACTGACGCTTCCGGTGCCGGGAGTGCCGCCTCAGTCGGGCCCCCGATCCCGTGGGAAGCCACCGCTGAGTGCCCATCAACCTTTTCCGGGCGTCTCTGAGGTCAAGGCACCGTCTCGAGTCGAAGGGCCGAGCCACGGACCAAGGCGCGCCTCCACGCCGCAAGCAGGGTCATCTGTGAGCGAGCTTACCTCCTTCTCTCTGGGAGACCGTAGGGATGGCACTAAAAGACGTCGCCGCTCGTCTTCGAGCCTTGCCCACAGGGACAGGTCTCGGCGGCGGCGGCACCGATGTTCATACTCTGGCACCCGCCGTGGAAGGCGCCATGCTTGGAGTTCGTCACGGGAGTCCCAGGCACCGAGGCATCGTAGTCTCGGGCGCCAGAGGGAATACAGAGACAGCACTCCCGACTCCTACCTGTCCTCGTCCAGGGGCCGTAGACGTCATGTTTGGGACTGCTCTAGTCGTTCGTACGGCACCGTGCGTTCGTCCCGGACCTCCGCCTCGGCACGCAGCCGCCCCTCCTGGAGCCGCTCGGTGCCGCAGGACCAGCCGGCCCTTCCGGGCCCCCTTGCGTCCCAGGGCCAGGCCGTTCCCTGGCAGGGACAGTGGTGCCAGTGGGCACCGCCGGGACTCCACTCCGTGGCGGGAGTGTCCCAAGCCCAGCCGATGTCACCACCTCGGCACCGTGATGAGGCAGTGGGTACCGACCCTCCAGCACCGACTCGGGCCCAGGGTCAGGACATTGAGCTACCGGTACCACCGGGTGCCGACAACACCGCGGCACCGACCTCCTCGGCACCGGATGACTCTGTGGCTGCCCTTCCTCTGGTCTCTCAGGAGGATTTCAATGCCCACCTGGAGCTTCTCAGGAGGGTAGCATCAAACCTCCAGCTCCAGGCTGAGGAGATGGAGGAACCATCGGACACGTTGTTCAATGTCCTTACCTCCTCGACGCCGGGGCGCATGGCCCTCCCGCTCCATCAAGGGATCGCCAATATCACTACTGGCCTCTGGCAGACCCCTGCATCCCTCGGTCCTATTTCCAAAAAGGCCGAGCGGAAGTACTTTGTGCCCACGAAGGGGCACGAGTATCTCTACTCTCACCCAGCTCCGATCTCTCTGGTGGTGGAGTCCGTTAACCACCGGGAGAGACACGGCCAACCTGCTCCCACCCCTAAGGACAAAGATGCTCGCAGGCTGGACTCCTTTGGAAGAAAGTTTTATTCGCAAGTTTTCAGCTCAGAGTGGCCAACCACCAGGCACTCTTGAGCAGATATGATTTTAACCTTTGGGGATCCCTTCCCAAGTTTGAGCCCTCCCTCCACGAGAAGGACAGGAAGGAGTTCCGGGCTCTGCTTGATGAAGGTAGGATGGCGGCTAAAGCAGCGCTCCAGGCGGCCTCAGATGCGGCGGACACGGCTGCTCGTTGGATGGCTGCGGCGGTCTCCATGAGAAGGGCGTCCTGGCTTTCGCTCTCTGGTCTATCGGCTGAGTCCCAGTCGATCATGCAGGACCTTCCATTCGACGGTCGGGCCCTGTTTTCTGATCAGACACCTGTCTGCACGGGATGAAAGACTCCCGTACCACCCTGCAGACGCTGGGCCTGTACATCCCGCCGGCCAAGGACAAGCCCAGGCCTCACACCTCCGCTCCAAAGGCTCGGGGCAGATATGAGCCCCTGCCTAAGAAGCAGCGGGAGCAGAGGCGCCGGTCACAACGCCAATCCTGTTTGGCCCCTTGTCCTGGGCCCTCTAAGGCCAGGAGACCAGGGAAGCGGCGTTTTTGACTGCTTGCGGGGGGCCGCTGGGCCGGTTTCCAGGTTAACCCCCCCCCCCCCCCCCCTAATAAAGTTCAGGTTTGCCAATCGTTTACCTGCCTTCAGTCTGCAATGGTTCCGTATTACTACGGACCGCTGGGTCCGCAACACTATATCCCTAGGGTACATGTTGCAGTTTCTTTCGCCCCCTCCCATTTGCCCTCCAGCCAGGGAGTCGGCGGAGGACCCAGAACATGCGCTCCTTCTACATCAGGAGGTACAGCGC